TCCAAAATCGAAGCTGACGCATAAAGCTGATGTGTATAGCTTTGCRATGGTGTGTTTTGAGCTTATAACAGGTAAAGTTCCATTTGAAGATAGTCATCTTAACGGTGAGCAAATGGCTATCAACATTAGAATGGGAGAGAGACCWCTTTTCCCTTTCCCTTCACCGAAATACCTCGTTAGTCTGATTAAACGGTGTTGGCACTCAGAACCGAGTCAGCGTCCTAACTTCTCTTCGATTTGCCGTATACTTCGATACATCAAGAAGTTCCTAGTCGTGAATCCAGATCATGGTCACCCTCAAATGCAAACTCCATTAGTTGATTGTTGGGATTTAGAAGCAAGGTACTTGAGAAAGTTTCCAGGTGACTCGGGGTCACACACCGGGTTTCGGAAAGAGAGAAGATGAATCCAAACTCAAAAGAAAGCGGTAACTCAGAGGCAAGCGAATCAGAAAGCGTTTCAGTGGTTGAAGACCCACCAAATGGTATGATAACAAGAGATACAAAGTCATTGTGTTTAGATACAATATCTGAATACTCAGATACATTATCAGTCTACTCAGAAGCTCCTATCAAGAAGGTCTCATCTTTAAAGAAAACCGGCGAAATGGCGAAACTACGGAAAAGTCCAAGCTTAGGTTAGTGTTTTCACCCTAATCTCTATATAATGACAAGATTTGAAGTTGATTCATTTTGTTAATATCATCAATGCAGGTTCATCAAAGTTGAGATCTACAGGAACTTCGCCAGTAAAAGCAAGATCATCGCCAAAACCTTCACCGTTGAGTCCATTCGGAAGAAGCATTAAAGCGAGGAAAGATAATAGATTGCCATTGAGTCCAATGAGTCCTCTACGTCCAGGAATACGTAGACAACAAACAGGTCATGCTTCAGACTCTGAGCTTACTTAGCTTTTTCATCAAAAACAGAGAATTAAGAAGATTTCTGAGCAATTCATAGTTTCAGACATGACAAAAAAAAAACAAAACAATGAGGTAGGGATCTTGTCTTCAAGACTATGGTTTTCTTTTTCTTCTTTTCTTTTGTAGCTTCTGCTGCAAGTTACCTTTTGCTGGGTAATTAATTATTGGTTTTGGGTTTAAAATCAAGAACACAATCTAATGTTGTAAATTTTTTCTTTTTTGTACAAAACAGAAATTGATCAGCTTTTTGTAAGAGATTACATTTCAATTTTTCTATTATGTTTTGTTTCTTTTAAACAGAGAAAGATTAGTCTGTTTATTATCTTCTTTTTTTCACATCAACCCCATTTCATTTTCTCTATTCAACATTTTTGGGAAAAAATATTTTTCCAATTATTAAAGCAAATCTACAAATCTTATTATTTATGCAAGGATTTCCTATTTTTTCACGGAGACTATTGTTGGTCTTTTCCATTTAGTAATGGAAAAGACTCTAAATTTCACCAACATATATTGTTAATTGGAATCAATATTTATATATTAAATAAAATTAAACATATATGACCATATGTTTAACACTTAATTTAATTTTTAATATGTCTTCAATTTGCTTTTATTAAAAAATATTCATTTCACTAAAACTACTATAAAAACTGAAACCCAAAAAACTTATATTAGAAATCAAGTCTTCCAAAAACTAAACAAATCACCATTCAAATTTAAAAACAAAATCCAATAGCTAAAGATCATTGATAAAAACTATTGCCATTTAAAGAAAATTGACTTGTGGTTGGAAAGAAAAAGGCCA